TAGGTAATATTTTTAATTTAAAATTATCTAGAAATATTGAAAGTTTAATTTATATTTTTGAAATTTAATGAAATTATTTTTTTCTAACAATAATAATATAACAATATAACAATTATAAAAATTAATAATTAATTTTTTTTATAAATTTTATGTATCTTTAAATTATAATCTAAACAGGATTATTTATTAATTATTAATACAATTTAATTATTTACTATGATAAATATATAGTTATTACATGTAATTATAAAAATTTTAACATTTAAAATAATGTTATAATTATTTTAACATTTAAAATTTTTATAATTATCAAAAACCAATTCCTTTTGAAAAGCATATATGAAAGATTATATCTGTATAGTGTATGAGTCATGATGAAGTCATCTTTACTATGCTTTTTAATATTCTTCTCAAGTACTTTCAATATATTCACAGTATGTAGACTACCAATATTAATGATTTTAATATCATATATGAACTCTTTTTAAAGCTCTATTAAAGCTTTATGTTGTATATATTAAATTAAAAAATTTTAACTGTTCATAGATTTTAGCATTAAAATTATTTTATACTTCTCCTCTCTTATTTTATAAGTTTTTATTTTACAGTTAAAATTTTACAGTTTTTTTTATTTTACATTGTATTTTACATTGTATTTTATTTTTAGGTTCAAAGTCACTTTTAAAACCACATATTTTTAAAAAATCTGAATCTAATGTGAGAGTATCAAATTTTCAAAATAAACAAGATATAATGAGTAAATCTTTTGAACAGTCAAAACAACTTAAACTTCCTTATAAAAATCTATCTTTAGAACTTGGTCATACAGAGAAAACAAATGCAACATCATATTGGGTACCACAAAAATCTGCTACTATAAATGATTTAAGTAGAATTCAAGCAAATAATTATGATGACGATGAAAAGTTATATACAAAAAATATTGATCAAGAAGATGAATATGAACATTCATCTGATGTATCTGAAAAAGTATCTAATATCAGTTATATTAAACATAAAAATATAAATGTTAAGGAATCTAATTTATCTAGCATCAGTTATACAATGGAAGTAAATCCTAATGATTTAGCTGAGACAGATATTGATGTTTTCAATGTTAGTAATATTGATGGAGGATCAGATGGTGCAGTTAGTGAAGCAGGAACATATACAATTCATAAAGATTATACAGATGAAGAAAAAGCTAGAATGGATATAGATAAAATATTTAGTGTTGGTGTTTTAACTGAAGATGAAAGCAATGAAGCATGTATTCATAGTTTTAAGGTAAATATATTCTATGTATTCTATTATTATTATAATAATTGTTATTATTTAAAATATTTTATTATTTTAAAGATGAGTGTTTCAAGGGATAATAATACATGGATATCAGAATGGGCTACTCAAGTAGCAGAACATAATTCTTTACCACCAGCAATTGGTGGATTAACTGGTCGTACACCTCCATTAAGTCCTTCTAAAATACCATCTCCTATTCATAATAGATCGCAACGATTGATTCGTGGTCGCAATGTATGAAATATTCATTGTTTATATATATATATATATTTGTAGAATATATATGTATTTATTATCAATATGTACTTACTAAGTCTTATAATAAGAGCGAATTTAACATTTTGTCAAATTGCATTTACTATCTATTATATCTTGTATAACAATATATATATATATATATAAAATGAGTATAAATAAACATATATATGATAATTATAATAAATTTTTAGGAACAAAGCGATAGCAGTTTAGATGCAGAATCATATTTACGAATAAAAGAAAGAATTTCAAATCAACATATACTTATTGATTCTGGTGGAGAATCAGATGACGATACTAGTAATAGTTATAACACACCTCCACAAAGTTCACAAAGAACACCAATACATGGAGTTTTGGGTAGAAGAGGAAGTCTTTCTGAATCTCTTTTTAGAAGAATTAATACCAATGAAAATAGAAGAAGTATTCACAAATATATAAGTTCAAATAAATCAAAGACTGAAGATATAAATACAGAATTAAGTAGTCCGTCCAAAGATTTTACTTCTCTTCATTTAGGAAGACGAAGTAGTTCCTTGGACAGGTAAAAAATCAATATTTAAATCAATATTTAAAAAATATAATTTAAATTAATTTTATAATTTGATTTTTTATAATATAGGAAAGAGTATACATCTAATACAGCAGAATGTAATACGTCCAAAAATAATAGTATGAAGTATTATCATGATGATGAAATTAAGTATTCAAATAGTCCAGTTTTAAATCGTTTAAGGCCGTCTACACCAAAATTAACAAATAGTCCAATTATAACTCGTAAAACAGTCACCAAAATTGTTAATTCACCAGTGTTGGAAAGAACTAAACATTTGACAAAGTCTTCTCCACAAGCAAAAAATATTGGATATTTTACATGTGTTGAAAATAGGTATAAATAATAACTAAAATTTGAAAATATTTCATTTCTATCTCTAAAATCATTTTGTTCTTTTAGTCCATACATGTTAAGAAAATCTAATAGTACTGCAAATTATCACGAAGAAAATATCAGCTTTAGTACAACAAATAATGTTCTTCAAAATAGTCCAAATGTTAAACGTAATTTAAATATCCAAAGATCATGTAGCAATGCAAATATTAGAAATATAAAATTACAAAGCCAGTCATCTCGTCGCAGTAGTTTTAATAGTAGTGATATTGATAGAACATCTTTAGGAGGAAGATATCTTCCTGCTTCGGACAGTAGTAGTGAAACTGGTGAACAGCAAGCAAAATCTTCATTAGGTTCAGTTTCTTCTGGAATTAAATTGAACCGAGCTTTTAGCATAAGAAGAGCTAGGTACTTTAAAATATATGTAATAAAAATAATAAATTTATCATTAATATAATATATTTGTAATTATTTCATAATATATAGATTAAATTGTGAATCTGATACAACTCCAAATACAACTCCTGAAGAAAGACGCAGAAGAGCACAAAGTGAAGCAAAATTAACATCTTCAAATAAACAGCAAAATCGAAATCATGTAACTAATATGAATGTAAATAATAAAGAATTTTTAAAAAAATCAGAGCCTACAAAATCAAGAACTACATCTATATCAAGAAATGATAGTACCAGACTTAGTATGAGAACACCAAAATCATCTCATGTAAGTGCTTTATACTTTTATAAATGTTTATTCTATATTTTATTTTTTTTGTATTTCGTATTTTAAATCTTTGTTCTATTGAGTTTGTAAAATTTTTTTTTAATGTAATTATATGTAAATATATGTGTCTTGATAATATTTTATAGTTAACTTCTACTATACAACGTCCTATTCAGAAAGTCATTAAAGATCAAAAGAAATCTGGTAGAAGTAATTCAACATTAACATCAAAAGAAGTAGAATTTCAAAATTGGAAAAGAAGAAAAAGTTATGATCCAATGAAAGCAGCTGCGGAAGGTAGAAAAAAATTGATAGATAATTCAAAAAAACATCACAGCACAGAAGATAGTTCAGGAAAGTATGTATATATTGAAAATATAATATTGCAAATGTTTATAGAATATAATTTAAATTTCTGTTAATATATCTCTAGTCATGATAATTCTGTATTGCGATCAGCAAGTTTTCATGGAACTGGTGCTGCTCTTTCACTAGCTAATGAATGGTCTGACAATGAAATAAATATTGTTCAGAATGATAATCAAGTACCTCCACCATGTAGCCCACAATTGGTAAATGTATATAAATATCTTTTTGTAAAATTTATATTTATTGTTTAATTTTTTATATATAGGAAAGTGATAGTGATATAGAAACATCATATTATTTACAAACAACACAAAATGTAATGTCAGCTATGTCAGCTCGTATTACAGTTTGTCATTCACCTTTAGTAGACTCAGATAATGATAGTGATGAAGACACTAGTCATAGTTTACATAAAAATATGTCAAAAACATTACATCAACCTAGTGATACAGAGAGCAGCGATGATCGTCACCCTAATGCACAGAGTGCTCTTTCAAATACTAAATATAATCGAGCATTTAGGTAAAAATTTATGAATATAATTAATGAATAATATCATTATGTATATTTTAAGTATTTATTTGCAGTTTACGCAGAGCAAGATTAGACATACAATCAACAAAAGTACCAGGAAGTATAAATAAGAATAAATCAATTATACAAGATACTCGAAAATCTGACTCTGTTACAAGTATTAGTAGAACTGATTCTGGACGTTTTAGTATGAGATCAAGCAGAACTGCAAATACTGTATTTATCTTTTATATTATATTATATTTTATATATTTTATTATAAAAGATAATTTTTATATTTTTAACAAACATTTTTTATTGCAGGGATCTAAAATAAAATCAAAAGAAACAAAAAAACCTGCAACACCAAATACAAGAGAGGTTGAAATGCAAAATTGGAAACGTCGTAAAAGTTATGATCCTATGAAAGCAGCAATGGAAGGAAGAAGAAAAGCAGGTTTGGCAAAGAAAAATACGAATGCCAATCTTTCTCCAAGGTAAATATTTATTTATATAGATTAAATTAAAAATCATGTAAAACATGTTATTATTTAGTTAATTTAAAAATAATTATTTCATTGTTGGTAGGACTGATAGCGATCGATAATCTAATGATAGAGACCATCGATACAAGCAAGTGGTACGAAAATGACTTGTTTGATTTTGCGATATAGATTTTTTTAAGAGGTACATCAAAAAATGTAATGTTTATTGTTTTTTTTCTTTTTTTTTTTTTTTACGGCCTCTTAAGAAAATTTTATCGCAGCAATGCTGCTTTTTGGTATTATTTATTGTTTATATTAATCTATCGCCAATGCACTATTAATCAGTGAATACTATGGATATAATTGAATACAAGAATTACATAAAATATATCATCTTTATTATATATAATTTTAAAATTATATAATAAATATAATATATATTAATATTTTAATGTTTTTTTAATGTTAGTAATGTTTCAATTATAAAATCCATATTATTTATTATATATAATTATTTATATATAATTATTTCATAATTGTATTTTAGTGGAATACATTATAAAAAATGGATTTTCACTAAAATAATATTATTTGTATAGGATAGTTAGAAAATAAGACAATATATACTTATTTTATAATAAGTGTAAATTATAAATTTCAGTCTAGTTTGTTGTGGCTTATTAATGCAATATACAGCTAGATTTATGTCTTATTTATTAATTTGTTTTATTTGCATGATCAAAGAAAGAACCAAGCATATTTTTGTCTTTGCACAATATATAAATTTACTTCAAAATGATTAATAAAATAAAAGAAAAAAAAATAGAAAACTGAAAATTTTATTTAATGGAATAACTTTATTAGAAATTTTTATGAATACATAAATAAAATTAAGGTCTTTTTATATCAGAATCTTATTTTATATAGATTTAAAAGGCACTAGCATGTTAAAATATTGTTATATATTGTAAGTATATTATATTATATATATGTTATATATATAATATAATATACTTTATTGGTTCTTTCTTGATATATTATAATAGATAGAAATAATATTTGTTTTGTTTTTAGTAATGTTGCAAGATCACGCAGTTTCCATGGTTCATCAGGATTTGGAAATAGTGATTGGAGTGATGAAGAATTAGCTATATCTGCAGATGAAGTTACAATTTATTAAAGGTCAACTTATTAACAATATTATAAATGAATCTAATTATAAAAACTTTAATTATATTAATGTATATAAAGACTAAGAAAAGAGATTGATTCTCATATGAGATTGCTCCATGAATAGTTCTATATAAAATTAAAACTGAAGAAAATGTTAAAAAATCTTTTCTATATTAAAAGATTCTATTTTTTGCAACTTTTAACATTAAGAATCTATAGATCTATATGGCTGTCAGTACTGTTCTAAGTTGAAGTATTAATGTTCAACAAAATTGCATATTTGCATAAAATTTATGTTTAAACATTTTCATATTTTATTTTATTATTTTTTTTTCTTTTGTCATGATATAAATTCTGATTATACATATTAAATATATAATACTTTTAAAAAATAAATACTATATGAATGAAAAATAAATGTGCTAAAATCTTTTGTGGTTGGAAAATATCATAATTCCAATGCTAGGCCTAAATATAATAAATATATAATAGAAAAAAATAATGTATGTAATTGGACCAATAATGATATAAAAATATTAATTTTCTCATATCTTAATAATTATTATGTTAACTATGTTTTACTATATTATGTGTATTATTGATTTCTAAACTTAATTTTTAATGATAGTGTGTGCTCTCTAGTTTATTTTAATTAATTATTCTTTATATGTTATTGGAATCAGCATATATTATTATAGGTATTACTAAATTATTAATTTCTAATAAATAAAAAATTATATGTTCTGCTTGATATAAAATAGACAAAAACTTCCATATATTATAAAATAATATATATGAGCTCTTCATGTTTCTGCAAAAATATTGGTACATATAAGAAAAAAAATACTATTTGCTCTCAAAAGGTGCAATGAATCATTACAATTATTTTTTATATTAAATAATTTAACACTTGATGTGATCATAATATGCTTTAAAGTAGTAATATATTAAAGTATTATGTTTTATTTTTTACTGACTAGTATAATGGAACATACTTATTAAATTATGTACATATTATGAAATTATTTGGATTATTAAAAAAAAACTTGCATTCTCGCTTAATAAAATTAATGCGATCAATGCATTGATATCGATCTGTATAATCTAGAAACGATCTTAAGCTCATTATATATATATGATATACATGAATATATATATATTGATAATATCAATTAAAAAATTTGTAATATGTATTTGTTCAAAAGTTTATATTACTTATTTGTGCAGCTTGTTACTTTGTTATAAATTTATCAATTATTTCGAATTTTGATGATATTCATATTTAAATTAGTAATATTTAAATTAGTTTATGTACTTTATTTAGTTATAATTAATTATATCATATTTTTTACTGTATAATTTTTTTAAATATATTATTTATTTTTAATTTAAAAATTTATAAATTATTAAAAAATATCAATATTTTGAAAAACTTAAAATTATTTTGATTTTTTAATAATTACAAATTGTTTTTATAAAAATTATGCAGTAAAATATACTAGGATAAATTTTATGTTATATTTAAAACAAAAAAATTATTGTTCAATAGAATGTAATATTTATTTCTATCAAAAATTCATTTTCATAATTTCATGAATAATAATTATATATTTGCACATTATTACTATTGTTATTATTATTGTTATTATTACTATTATTATTACTATTAATATTATTATTATTATCAAATGCACTTTTTTTGTTATATAATCTTTGTTTTATTTTATTAATTTAACAAGGTGCTAGTTAATATATTTGTCTCATTTAGTTTTCAATATCTCAGCTGTATTTATTCAATTAAAATATTATATTATATTTCATAATGAAAACAAATATGAAATATGATGTATAATTTAATTGTATCAAAATCTTTCTCATACATACCTACATATATATGATGATGTTAAGATCTTTATATATGATAAAATCTTTTGAGAATGATGCAAAGTAATTTTTATGTTGTAAAATTATATGTTTGTATTATATAAATTTTTAAGATCATGTTACTAAATATTTATAATGATGCATGTGCATAGTATCATCTTATTTTAAGAATATCTTCTTCCATGTTCTTCTTTTAAATAAAAGTGGGCTTCCATAGTGAAGATCATTGTTATTTTAAAATTTCTTATCTATTATTCTTTATATAAAATTAATCTTTTTCCTATTATTTGTTTTATAATTTAATGATATATCGTAATTTAAAATATGGAATATTTTAACTTGATATAAATATATAAACAATAAATATTAGAAAAATAATATATTTATTAATTTATTTACAAAAAGTTTTTTAAATATTTTTTTTAAAGAAATTATCATTAATAATTGACATAATTAAAAATTTTTAAAGTGCAAAATAAAGACTTAAAAAAAAAAAAAGATTCTTAGAAATAATTTATTAAATTAATTTTGTGAAAACAAAATTATATATTTTTTTAAAAATCTTTATTTCAAATTATTATTTAAAGTAATAAAAGTAATATTCTAGTTTAGAAGACAAAAAATTTGGATTTTATAATTTTGTTATTTAACAATTAATTTTATTTAGATACCATCAGATAATGTCTTATTTGAACTATATTGAATTAATAACGTTACTAATATTACTAGTAATTTACTAGTTACTAGTTCACGTGGTCAATTAAAGTTTAAAACTATGTGTGTATGAAATATTTTGTTTCGTATTTTAAATTAATTTTTATGTGTGTCAATATATATATATTAAAAAATATAATTATATGAAAATAAAATTAATTGAAAAAAAATAAATATGAAAATATCTTATAAGGTAATTATTTATAAAGAAAAGTTTCATTACATTTACATAACCTTAAAAATTTATATATATAAACTTTTTAGGCAAATATAAATGATTTTTTGAATCATTCTAATAATTTTATGCTTGAAAATAATAATCATTCTAACAATGAAATTGATAGAAATAACTATAGGGATGAAGAAAATGAAGAAAAAGAAAAAATTAAAAAAAATGATCACTTAATATCTAATAAAAAAAGAACGAAAATTATTGATGATTCTATTGATTCTATTTCATTAAAAAAGAAAAGAAAATTAGATAAAAATTTATATAAACCACCAACAGTAGAAGAACTAAATCAACTTAGAGAAACAGAAAATTTATTTCATTCCAACTTATTTAGACTGCAGATAGAAGAAATGTTAAATGAAATTAAAGTTAAAGAAAAATATAAACGTTTATTTGATATTTGGTATAAAAATTTTAAGAAAAATATTGAATCCATAAAAGAAACAGAAGAATATAAAGTAATTAAATTTATTTAATTAAAATATTAAAAATTATAATAAAAATTTTATATATTATTTTATGATTATATAGATTTCAGATCAAGAATTGAAAAACAAATTAAATATGCATATTCCAATGCCAAAGGTACCAGAGGAAACAAAAGGAATATTTAAATTTCTTAAGCCATCGGATATTGCTATTATAGGATCTTATATGTTTGATGCTGCAATTAGTCCAAATTTCACTGTAGATATAATGATTGAAATGCCAGCTAAAATGTTTCAAAAACAAGATTATCAAAATTATAGATATATGAAAAAAAAAGCAATATATTTGGCATTCATAGCATTTAATATTACTGATGATATTGCTGAAAGCAAAACATTTATGAATGATAGTTTAAGACCATTTTTAAAAATTGTACCAAATGGAAAATTAGGCACTAAAATGAATGTATTTGTACATATATCAGCTCAAGAAGGAAGTTTTAAATTAAGTAGATTTTTACCAGAAAAAAATAATATTAGATCTGAATGGTTTTTTAATGAGGAAAAAAGTAATATGTCTTTTTGTTTCTTTTTTTATTTATATTATATATATTTTATATATATATATATATATATTATTTTTATAATGATAGTTACAGAAGATTTACTTCCAACACCATATTACAATTCTATTATTCTTCATGATTTAACTATGAAAATTCATGCAGAAAATATGAAAATAATAAAAGAATATCCAAATTTAAGAGATGGCATTATTTTATTGAAGATATGGTT